CAGAACCCGGTAGAAACTTTCAGAGTCAGTCAAGGTCTCCGACTCCATCACCTACACCATCAAGGAAGCAGTCTCCTATAAGGGAGGTTAAGGTAGCGGTTGCTGAAGGATGTAGCCTCGTCATACCACTTACCCTCAATGGAACTCCTGGCAGTGCTGTAGCGGACACAGCAACCACCATGACACTAGTACGACGTGGTTTACTGGATAAATTAAATGGTCCACTTGTACTTGGAAAGCTTGTTCAACTGCGTGGTTTCAAGGGCAATGTAGAAATTGTTTGGGAAATAAAAGACTTACACATAGGTATTGGTAACTCTGATATACCATGGACAGTGTGTGAAGCTCCTATTATTGACGACATGTTGTTAGGAATTGACTTTTTTCCCATAACAACTGTGTTGGATTTGAATACAGGGGTACGTCTGATGGAAAATCCAGCAATACCTCTCACCGCCTGTAAGGAGGAACAGAGAAACCAATCAGTGGTTTCTGCTTCACAGACAGTTACAATTCCCCCGAATACTGTCGGACATCTCAAAGTAGACTGGGAAACTCTAACAAAGGATATGGCCATGATACAGCCTACCCATCCACCTGGGGGACCACTGCTCACCAACTCGCTGGTTCCCCCTGGAACCCAACATACAGTGATGACACAGAAAAATCTGTAAAGATAAGGAGAGATGAAATAATAGGGAGAATGGAACATGTTGACTTGGTTACCACAGAAACCGGATTTGGTAACCGACTGGAAGCCATAGAAACCGGACCAGGTAACCAACCAGAAACCACATTTCTAAAGAATTACTGCATAGATCTTTCTCAAATTTTTAGTGCATGGGCTCCTTGGTCCCTGGTTTGAATTTTGGGTCTGATCAGAGAGAAAGAAAAATGACCTGACTGGCTGCCATCTTGGATTTTGACTTAAGGAGTTTGTTATCCCTATTTCTTGAGAACTACTATACATATCTTTCTTATATTCCATGTGTAGGTTTCCCTTGACCCACAGTTGTGCCTGTTTGATTTTAGGACTGATCAGAAATAAGAAAAAATAAGACTGACAGGCAGCCATCTTGGATTTTGACTTTGAAAGTTTGTTATCACTATTTCCTGAAAACTTTGATTTTGGGAATGATCAAGAAGACGAAGTAGCATCCAAGTGACAATTAAAGATTATTAATCAATGTTTTGCCAAGGACTGTTCAAATTAATATCATTTAGAGCATAACCAAAGAAGAAAGGCGAAAACAAGGGGAAAGATCCAACTTTTAAAGTGCAAATAAAGATCAGACAACGGTGAATGCCTAGATCCTTCTGAGATCTCTTGTTGCATTTTGTCACCCTATTAAGTCACCTGACCCAAGGGTCAGAATGACTTATAGCCATTGCGTTTTGTCCAATGTCATGTGAAAACTTGCCATTCAAATGACTTCTTCTAAATAACCAAAAGGCCCAGGCCTCAGGATGATGGAATGAAAGGCAAACAAGAGTGTTAAAATGAATGACCTTGACATACTTCCAAGGTCACAGGGATCAGTTATGTTAAAACCAGAAGGACCAGGTTGCGATATAGAGCCTGTAGCATTCTGGGATGAAGGGCTACCAAGTTTGTTCATATTATTGATCTTTGACCTATTGTCAAGGTCACAGGTGTTAAATATATCAAAATCTTTTAAACAACATCTCACTAACCAAAATGTCCAGGATGCCTATATTGGGCGGCCTGTAGCATGCTAGTATGAAGGGTTACAAATTGTGTTAATGTGATTGATCTTTTTTCTTTTTAAAGGTCACATGGTGCAATTCCGTTAAAATCTTAAAAAGTATTGCAAAAGAATTTACATGACTGTTGATGTTGGCTTAAACATAAGTGGATGAATGTATTCAAACAATTGACCTTGACTTATAATCAAGGTTATTGGGTCAAAATATTTGAGATCTTTGAAAACATTCAACTTGCAATTGGCCTGGAGTAATGTTTTGTAGCATGTATAAAGAATATGATTTAAAGTTTGCAGAAAATGTCTTTATGAGCCAACAGTGTATTTGTAAGCTGTTGAGTAGTTGAGCAATTTACGTGAGGTCTATATGGCTTCTTTCATATATAAGTTGTAATACTCAGATGACCATTAAAACCTCTGATCTCCTTGTTTTGTATAAAATAAAAGAATATATGAATTGAAATGTAAAGATTATGAACAAGAAAATGCAATGTTATGAAGTGGCGCCCGTCAGGCATCAACTTCTCCATTTGATCTCAATTACCAGCTGACCGACTGTCATTTGGCTAAAAGGATAGACCCTTATTCAATGTCACAGGGGTCACACTACTTAAAACCTTTAAGCAACTTATTCTGACCAACCAAAAGACGTAGAAGCATGGTATTTGGCTGACAGGTTCCTAGGATGAATCTTGACAAAGTTTTCAAGGTCACTGGAATTTAATCGTTTTTTAAGGAAAACATATTTCGAGGAAAAAGGAAATGGCATTTACTAAAAATCCAGGTCATAACTTTATCGAATTGAGTATTAGAAGCTCTTTGTTGTTGAAATTGGTTAAAATACTCATTTTGAATGTCAATGGTGTACATGTCAATATATTAACAATGATTATATTTTTGATGAACATGGGTCACTGTCAATTTAAGAAATAATTTGTTGTTTACTGGTTTGTAAACTACTTTTTGTATTTCAACATGATGTGCTAACAACAAAATGCAATTAACACTTCCAGTAAACACCAGAAAAGACAAATTTTGTACCATTTTGGCATGGAAAATCCTTGGATAAACAAGAAACAATTTTGTATAAACAGTGGGCATGGACTTTTAGACCAGGTGTAGAGCATGCTTAGGCAAAGAGGAATGAGTTTTGTAGAAACTGTAGGTCTTGACTCCCTTCGGTGGGAGAGGTGGTGCCAACTAGGGGAAATAGAGCAAATTCTTACTTCTTCTGTATTAATGCCAGGATTCTGTCCTGATTTGGTCTGAAACATTATAGGGTGAAAGGAAGTCTTTTTGGCATGAATTACAGGTCTCTCTCTGCCTCCTTTGCTGGCAGGATTTGTAGTCCAAAAAGAGGAAATGAAGTTCTTTTTCAGTTTGGTATGTAACATTGTTGTATGAAGGGTAGTAACTTTGAAATAAATGGTGGGTCTTGGCCCATTCGGAGCGCAGAAGGGACGTGGCCCAATATGATAACAGAGCAAAATCTTTAAAATTCAATCCTTCCTGTTGGAATAATTTGATTTTGAACAAATTTGGTCTGAAACATCCCTGTGTGAACAGGAATCAATATTGGGTAGATGTAGTGTATTGGTCACCCTGAGGTGGGAGGGACAGGACCTCATAGAAGAAATGGAACAAATTCTTCAAAATCGTACTCATCCTTTATTTTGAACATAATGGGAATTAATTTTGTTTAAATGGCGGATCACAACAACCAGGGGTGGACCCAATAGGGGAAAATTGTTAATTCGAATTCTTTGAAATCCTACTCCTTCTGTAGGAATGATTGAATTTGGTCTGAAGGATAAACTGAAATTTTGTACAAACAATGGGTTTTGGCTTCCAGGGGCATATTGCAGCCTCGAATAAGCAATTTTTTTTTCTCCTTCCAAATTATACATGACACATACATTTGCTAGGTTAATTCTTTCGTCGTTCAGGGTAGTGCAAAAGTGACATACCCAGATTCATCATTATTTTATCAACTTCTGATAGCAGTTTATATACATGTTGAATTTAGCCCAATATAAGCAAGACGGTAAACAAGATGGAGATCTCTGTCTTTGTTAATGTCATCAGTGTTGCTATGCAATGCTGAAATACATTGTTTCAATATTTGCAGAGTAAATTCTGGATGTTTTACGCTGCTCAAATAGTTTTTGGGCCTTATTTATTTTTCACATGTAATTGTAAGATTTTCATACCTGATGAGACTACCATATTTTCCTGGTTATAAGTTGCATTATTTTTGTGGCATTTGGGCATGCAGCGCATGGAGAAAAAATTGGCAGAATGGGGGAAGAGAAAAAAAGTGTTTCGTCTGGATATCGGTTCCGCACTAATATGTATTTCAGAACGACCACATTGACCTGTGTGACCTCGCACCCTGATAATTTTGGTTGTTGTGACATGTCACATTTCCAGGAAGAGTAAAAAATAATGATTTTAACCAAGGATACCAGTACACCAGTACAAGTCTTCTTTGAGTACCTGACCATCATGTGTTTATGACTGAAACAGATAATCTAGAATGGTCATTTGCAACCATATACAGGATGATTTTAAGATTGAAATAAAAATAACTCTCTCATGGATTTAATTAATCATACCTTTAATATGATTCAGAATAATATCTCCTGTACTTTTGTGGTTGCTTCGGAAGCCATAGCTGAAATTCACAGCCTGTTGCATCATGGCATCGATAAATCACTGAGTCAAATTCTAGAACATACCGCCATGCTTGTTTACGATAAGAAGGGCTTTGTGTAACTTTCAAGAAATAATATGGGGCTAAATGAATTTTGCTAGCATACATGGGCCTTCGCTAATATTTAACAGTACAGACACCGATGGCAATATTGTTGAGTAAACAGTACCGTAACCACAGTCCCTATATCTGTGCAAAGGTTCCTATGCCAAACAAGACTGATAATGGCTATTTTACATTTTAGGATCACGTCAATGAAATCAAGGAATATCTGTGTATAATTCATTTGCAAACTTAAATTAAATGTTTCACTGACAGTATTGATAAATTGCCTTTGACTGTCTTATATCAACAAACTTGGTCAACATAACGGTTATTATATTGTAAGAAAGGGTGTGACTTATATCCCAGTGTGTCTTATACGTGGGTCAAATGAATAAAAATGCTAAAAACAGTTCTGCAGCTTATACTTGGATGCAGTTTGTAGGCTGGAAAATATGGTAAAACAGAATTGTCATCATTTAAATGTTTTAATGCTTTGATTTTTATTTCAACATTTCCAGATCAAACACTTGGAGCTGATGAAATAACAATAACACTGAACAAGAATGCAGAATTAGGACAGTCCTTAGAAATATATTTGCAAAATGAAATAACAACAGGAATGTCTCTGAATAGGCCAGATGGATCACTGGCTGGGAACTGTTTTGCTCCACTTGGGGGCATAAGTGTAGGATGCACAACAGGATTGACACAAGATTTGGTAAATGGAATAACCACCTTTGCTGTCGCATCAGTCTCAAGAACTACAGATCAAGGTGAATGGACAAGCTCACATGGGACCGACACTGGGAGAAAAAACATAACAGTTCTAAGTAAGTATGGAACTTAATTATCAAATAAACAATGTTATTTTAATTATTTGGTAAAGTGTTTCATTCAGCAACTTAGCTTACCTGGCCATACTTAACGGGTCAAATGAGATTATTGCCTAGTGCGGTTGTAACGTAACTTTACTCAAGAAGACCACCCACAATTTATACGAGATTGTTGTAAAATGTTATTTCTAGCAGTTATTTACAAATCCACATGTTACACAGCTAATCATCCTACCTCTCGTACAAGTCACACACATGTATTCATATATATATATATGATCAATGAAGTAATAGCAACAGTATGGACAATTTTTTTGAGACAATCCCTTAATCAAGACACAAATATCACATAGACCACACCACACACATAGAACATAAAACAAATATAAAGTTATCAAGCTAAATGGAGAGCGGTTGTGTAAATTTAGGTGTCTCAATAATCCATTTGGTGGATGGACACCGAGGCCCTTTAAAGCATACAAAAAATATCCCAAGTTGTGGTCAAAGAGTCCCAAGAATCGTCAACTCACCCAAAGAAAAATTAGCCCCTTCAATTTGAAAAGTTCTCCTTCAGGTTTAGAGCTAAAAAATGGCACCAATCTCAAATAGGATGGAAAGCAGGTGTAGTAACTAAATAAAAAGTGCAATGAATAGAGCATGTAAAAAGAAAGAAAGAAATAAATGGGGGGAAAATGAAAAATATTTTTTTTAAAGAGGCAGATAGGTATATATTTTATTTCTACCTACGTGGTTGCTCCATGGGCTCCTTGTTTTAAATTTATACATAGTAACACATTTATTACCCTTAGGGAAATGTTTTATTTTTCCAATGTTTGTCTAAGAATGGGAGTGGCTTAGTAAAGACCAAGATATGACAATGAATTCAGTAATATATGTAGAAATGGCTAGGCAGACATTTCAAAAGTCAGTTGGAGCATGCTCTCATCAGCTAATGTGCTGACATTGCAAAATCTTCTCTGAGTTTCATATACAATAGCAATGACTATGTCCACACAGAATATCCTGAGATATTTCCATGTCTCGTATGTTGTAGAAATTCCATATTAACATCAAAGTGCTTACTTCTTTCCACAACCACCACCTTTCTTTATGTTGTCGATCACTATCATACTCTCTGACAGTGGTCAACTCAAACCCAGGCCCATAATCAAAGAACAAAAAATCAAATAGATTTCAAGTTTTCTTTATATATCAGCTTCAAGATTTCAAAAATTAGGAACAACATATAGTACTTAGTTCAAGCAAATGTTTCACTGCCAATCAAGGGTATTGTAAAATTTAAAAAGTATTATATGAGAAATATCACTACTGTTTACGTGTTAGACTGGTCATCTCATGGTATTTCTCACTCTTGCATAAAAACGTTGTTGCCAAAACCCTTCCAAGAAGATATAGATATGTTTTATCATACAAGTTTTAAGAAATCTATGAAGTTCAGAGCTGAACAAAAAGGAAGCCAGAAATTAGCAAATATTGATACTTTGAAAAGTTAAATGTGTATTTTATTTTTCAGCCATACCTTCTTTACCTGTAGTTAGTCAATCGGTGACTGATATAACATTGTCATCAGGTAGCAGTAACACAAAAACTTTGACCATTCAAGTAAATTGTGCATATCCAGCTGTGACGCTTGACTTGTCATTTGTGGTAAGTGTTGTGTTGATTTATTTGTTGATGAATTATCTAAATAACATACTCAAGAGAGCTTGGATCATCTCAGCTATATGCTTTCAGTTCTGGTTGAAACATTGATGCGTGATATTAAGGTTGCTGTATCTATTGAAGTGTCCTTTGACTATGTTTGAAAGAATGTTTTCCCTGTGCTTTCAGGTCATCTGACCTGTGGTCAAGATGACCTATAGCAGCAATCATGCTTTGTTCACTTTCAAGTCCTGTTTGCCTTCTGCTGTAAATTTTTCACATATCAAACTTCTCCAGTTCTAAATTTAGTTGAAATTTACCAATAATGCTCCTGAAATGGTTCTGATAATGTACTCGTATATAAATTTTTTGTTTGGTCTAAAATCAAAGACGGCCACTATGGCTTCTATTAAGCTGAAAATTGATGATAAAGCTTAAAAATTAAGATGTCATCAGAAGTTAAACATGACTGACACATTTTGTAAAATGATTTCACACATGATTTTTCCCACCCTCTGGAGAGGAAGGACAAGACCTAAAACGGGAAATAGTGCAACTTCTTTAAAATCCTTCTCCTGTTTGATCGATGAATTTTTTTCCCATATTTGGTCTGAAGCATTGTTAGGTGAAGGGGAATCAGTTTTGTATAAAAGTTGGGGCATGAGAGGCATGGCCAATTTTGGGGAATGAAAACAAATTCTTTCAAATTCTACTCCAGGAATGATTGGATTTTGCTGAGATTTGATCTAAAGCATTCTTAGGTGAGAAGAATCAATTTTGTTTAAACGGCTGGCCTTTGGTGGGAGGGAGGAGGGGCCAACAGGGTAAATAAAGCAAATTCTTTCAAATCTTACTCCAGAAGAATTGATTGGATTTTGCTAAAATTTGATCTAAAGCATTCTTAGGTGAGAGGAATCAATCTTTTATAGACATTGAATCACAACTCCCTTGGGGTGAAGGAGCTGGGTCCAGTAGAGAAACAGAATTATTTCTTTAAAATTCTACTCCTGCATTCCTGGATGGGGAATATTAAGTTGGTCTCAGCCCCCTAGGGCTTTTAAATCTTTTAAATCCTATTCCTCTTGCAGGAATAGGAATGATTAGAATTTGTCCAAATTTTGTGACATGATGGGTATTGGTCTCCTTGGGCAGTTGGGGCAGCGGCAAACAGCAAAGCAAGCTTTTTATTGGTTGATCATAGACCCTGGGGATGGAGAGGTGCCCGGGTCCAAAAGTGGAAATAGAGCTAATTCTTAAAAATCAATCAGCAAACTAAAGCAAGTGAGTGATGCAGGCCTTGTGTACTTCCCACCATGAATGGTGAATCTGATTTCTGTTTGACCACAAGGCCTAATAGGGAAATTATTTTTTAAAAAATATATATCATATATGAAATTCTTTAGTAAATGAATGAAGAGCTGGATTAGTTGTATGAGTGTAGGCCCCTTAGGTCTTCTTTTTATATGGGAGTGTTGTTATTGCTAATCTGCCTAAGAAAACATTGAATATTAATAGAAACATTTTACTTATCAGAATTGACAGCAAGAACTAGCCCATCATTTTCACTTCATAGCTCTTTGATATTGCATCTTTATATTACAGTCCGTGAATGGAGGTACTGTAGTGGTTGCCTCAGCTTCATCATCAGTATGTACCAAAACAGGTAATGCAGGTTGTGCTGACACAGATGCCAACAGCTACACTTGTGACATTACTCCACAATATGAAACATCTTTTGAACCTGGCAAAAAATATTATGCAAAGATTACAGTCAATTTTGATGGGCAGTACCAATCAATAGGACTGCATTCTACCATCAGTGACACAGAAATACTTGTAGAAGGTAAGTCCTGTTTCCTTCAACTTACTGATTATAAAAATAAATCATGGAATATTCTTCTTAAATGGGCCTTGAAGGTTTAATTTCTAGTACTATTTTAGGTACCTGGTTGTTATGCTGAATCCATGTATATTTCCTTTCAGTGAAATATTTCAAATATTTATTTCGTCATTGCAGTCATTGTATTTTAACTTTTCTTCTTTGGAATAGGAATACTCTTATGATATTTGTCAAAAAATACACTCATACTACACCAACCTATCATTCATTGCCATCTTTAAAATGCTAACTCTTTCATTTACATTGTTTTTCAATCATGAAGGATATAGTATAATAAGCAAGACTATAATTTATCTATTCCTTGAAAAGTAGTAATGTATGCAAGGGTATTTGAACAACAACAACCCATTCTAGTTTTTATTGAAAGGTGTACTTTCGATAATTAATCATGTATCACAGATGCTTGGTTTGTAGTTTGTTTAACTTTATATCAATATTTATGATATACTGTGTTTTACTCACAGCATGTTATATTGAGAAAGAGCATATTCCTTTAGATAAAAGTGATGGATACACACCACCTTCATTACAAATTAATGGTAAGAAGTTTGTATGTATTGTGGTCCTTAAGGTTTTTTACTATTCTGAATGAATTTCATGAAAAAGTGATGGCAAGATGTTTATTGCAGTCATTTTAATGCAAATAAGCATCGTTTTATAAGCTACATCAATATCTTTTTATACCACATAAATCTGATGTATTAACACAAATATTATGTCTTGATGAGAAATTTTTAACAGGCCACATGACAATTTGCACTGGTCTCCGAATACAGGTTTTTTGAGTACATGTACAAGTCTGCCTTTAATCTACTGAGTTTGTTCTCTGGTTGCCCCTTGTACATTGAATAACTATTTTTTGCTGGTGATGGCACCTGCTCTACTGATTTTTTTTAAAAAAAGCAATGTTTAGTTGATATCTAAGAATCAGCGGGGACTATACAGATTTATTAATTCATCGTGTAATATGTAACAGTGAATAAACATTTTTTATACAATAATTTAATAAAAGTAAACTGATATCTTTGAAATAAATACATTATCAGTTTTATAATGAAATCCCATGATGACTTTGTCTTTAATGAATATACTATGTTACACGAGTGTAACATGATAGTAACATTATATATATATATATATATATATATATATGTGTGTGGGTGTGTGTGTGTGTGTGAGGGTGTGTGTGTGTGTGTGTAAATATAGATTATTGTAATGTCACCCTAGAAAATGCTATGATGTTACATATCTACAAATTGTATTGTGCCTGAACAATAACAATCTCAGATGTACAGTTGAAATATTTATCATAGAAATGTCTGTTTTCTTCATCATTTGCATATTCAATTCCATTTGGTATGTGATTTATAAGACTCCTCATTTGTACTCGCAAAGGCTTGTTGAAACAAAACAGAAAAAAAACTAGTTTCCTAAATTTATCTGTCAGGTTTACAATATTTAAGTTTAAAAAATAAGTTGCTAAATTACTTGTCGATAAAATTCAAAAGATGATAAATACATGTTTACATTATTACACTTAAATGATTTGTGTGTTGATTGATTCCTAATCAGTCCTGCTGATTTTAGTGTGTTCATTCAGGTCATCTAACGTAAATCTGTACCCAAATCTGTATAATCTGTATTATAATGTTGTCTCCCTTAGTTTTATATTAAATCAGTGAAGATCATATAGAACTTTAGATGAATTTCTGTTTTAATCATAAACAAATGATTTCTTACTGTTACTGATAGTAATTGTCCTAAACATTAATTACCATACAAACACTGTATACAGTGGCTGATTAATATACAACATTCCGACTGGAGTTGATTCAGTGGTACATGGTTATATATCACTGTCTTGTTTTTATACTTATGTGTAATCAGTTATTATAACATTTTTATCTTTTGATTGTTTGCTACTAATTTTCTTGAAGGATTGAGAATATAACGAAAAGAAATGTGAGATTTTAAGCAATTAAGAGCTTAAATTGTTTGCGGCCGAAAATGTTGCTTAATTCAAATAAAATATGTTATTTTGAATGGTTTTGTGAAAAACATTTGCATATACTGAAGTCAAATTGTTTCCTTTGATGTCAAACCCAGTGTTAGAATTTACATAAATACCTGCTTTCATTGAAGGCTTGCTAGTGTAGATTATGTCCTTATGTACATGCAATATACTTTTTTGTAGATCAGTTTACACAATTTTATTTTAAAAGCTTTTATAGTAAAATAGAAAATAAAATAATAAAAAGAAAAAATTTATGGTGATGTTTTGATTTAAAGAACATATCAGTTTTGTAGTAACACGAAATCATATGCATGTTGACGATGTATATTAATACAGAAAATCATAGTTTAACTCATTTATACTGTGACAAGGTAACAATGGTACAGAGGGTGACAAAGTAATACCAGTATATATAGTGACAAAGTAATACCAGTATATAGAGTGACAAAGTAATACCAGTGTATAGAGTGACAAAATAATAATGGTACTGAGGGTGACAAAGTAATACCAGTATATAGAGTGACAAAGTAATACCAGTATATAGAGTGACAAAGTAATACCAGTATATAGAGTGACAAAGTAATACCAGTGTATAGAGTGACAAAATAATAATGGTACAGAGGGTGACAAAGTAATACCAGTATATAGAGTGACAAAGTAATACCAGTATATAGAGTGACAAAGTAATACCAGTATATAGAGTGACAAAGTAATACCAGTATATAGAGTGACAAAGTAATACCAGTATATAGAGTGACAAAGTAATACCAGTATATAGAGTGACAAAGTAATACCAGTATATAGAGTGACAAAGTAATACCAGTGACAAAGTAATACCAGTATATAGATTGACAAAGTAATACCAGTATATAGAGTGACAAAGTAATACCAGTATATAGAGTGATATAGAGTGACAAAGTAATACCAGTGTATAGAGTGACAAAGTAATAATGGTACTGAGGGTGACAAAGTAATACAAGTATATAGAGTGACAAAGTAATACCAGTATATAGGTTGACAAAGTAATACCAGTATATAGATTGACAAAGTAATACCAGTATATAGAGTGACAAAGTAATACCAGTATATAGAGTGACAAAGTAATAATGGTACAGAGGGTGACAAAGTAATACAAGTATATAGAGTGACAAAGTAATACCAGTATATAGAGTGACAAAGTAATACCAGTATATAGATTGACAAAGTAATACCAGTATATAGAGTGACAAAGTAATACCAGTATATAGAGTGACAAAGTAATACCAGTATATAGAGTGACAAAGTAATAATGGTACAGAGGGTGACAAAGTAATACCAGTATATAGAGTGACAAAGTAATAATGGTACAGAGGGTGACAAAGTAATACCAGTATATAGAGTGACAAAGTAATACCAGTATATAGAGTGACAAGGTAACAATGGTACATAGGGTGACACAGTAATAATGGTACATAGGGTGACAAAGTAATAATGGTACATAGGGTGACACAGTAATAATGGTACATAGATTGATAAAGTACTAATGGTACATAGGGTGGCACAGTAATAATTGTACATATGGTGATGATGTAATAATGGTACATAGGGTGACACAGTAATAATGGTACATAGGGTGACACAGTAATAATGGTACATATGGTGATGATGTAATAATGGTACATATGGTGATGATGTAATAATGGTACATATGGTGATGATGTAATAATGGTAGATATGGTGATGATGTAATAATGGTACATAGGGTGACAAAGTAATAATGGTACATAGGATGACAAAGTAATAATGGTACATATGGTGATGATGTAATAATGGTAGATATGGTGATGATGTAATAATGGTACATAGGGTGACAAAGTAATAATGGTACATAGGGTGACAAATTAATAATGGTACATATGGTGATGATGTAATAATGGTACATAGGTTGATGATGTAATAATGGTACATATGGTGATGATGTAATAATGGTACATATGGTGATGATGTAATAATGGTACATATGGTGATGATGTAATAATGGTACATATGGTGATGATGTAATAATGGTACATATGGTGATGATGTAATAATGGTACATATGGTGATGATGTAATAATGGTACATATGGTGACAAAGTAATAATGGTACATAGGGTGACAAAGTAATAATGGTACATTTGGTGATGATGTAATAATGGTACATAGGTTGATGATGTAATAATGGTACATATGGTGATGATGTAATAATGGTAGATATGGTGATGATGTAATAATGGTACATATGGTGATGATGTAATAATGGTACATAGGGTGACAAAGTAATAATGGTACATAGGGTGACAAAGTAATAATGGTACATATGGTGATGATGTAATAATGGTACATAGGTTGATGATGTAATAATGGTACATATGGTGATGATGTAATAATGGTAGATATGGTGATGATGTAATAATGGTACATAGGGTGACAAAGTAATAATGGTACATAGGATGACAAAGTAATAATGGTACATATGGTGATGATGTAATAATGGTAGATATGGTGATGATGTAATAATGGTACATAGGATGACAAAGTAATAATGGTACATATGGTGATGATGTAATAATGGTACATAGGGTGACAAAGTAATAATGGTACATATGGTGATGATGTAATAATGGTACATATGGTGATGATGTAATAATGGTACATATGGTGATGATGTAATAATGGTACATAGGGTGACAAAGTAATAATGGTACATATGGTGATGATGTAATAATGGTACATATGGTGATGATGTAATAATGGTACATATGGTGATGATGTAATAATGGTACATATGGTGATGATGTAATAATGGTACATATGGTGATGATGTAATAATGGTACATAGGGTGACAAAGTATTGGTATTACATATGATGACAAATATTGGTACATGGGGTGACAAAAAATTGATAATAATACAATGGATGATATATTATCACTGGTACATATGGTGACAAAATGATAATGGTACACTTCGCGACAAAGTGATACTGTAATATTGGATAACAAAGTTATAACGATGACTTTTTGAACAATACTTTCAGAGTAGTTTTTTCTCACGCAAATGTCAACAATGTGTTGTTATATTTAGCACAGCATTAAAACTTCCTCGTTGAATTAACACGGAAGTTTAACATGGTAGAAGGTTGGACCACCATGTTCCTCTCTACGCTGTTGATAATTACTGTAACATACGTTGGTGTACAAGGTACGTGATTTATCGTCAGTTGATGTCATCTTATGACGACAATAATTAAATTGATAATTTGATATGTTTGTCAAATCTACCTCTATCTATTTATTGATAATGACTATCAAATTAATTGAACGCCATACCTGACAACCATCCACATAATCGGCTAAGTAGGTTACGACCAACGTGCAACATATTCACTGTTATAAAAAAACCTGATGTCATTGCACTCCCCAAAACAAATATCGTCTGCTAGTAAAGACTAGCTCTAATATGTGTGACGTGATATGTTAAATGTTGCAAATAAAAAAAAAACATCTAAATTATTTCGACACCAAGCCAAATAAGAGATAACGGCCGAGTTTATTTCTGTATACTAAATATGTGAGGTTTTAGCTTCATTGATTAAAGATGATACACATAAGTAGCAATATGTATACAATAACTCCACATGTGTAATACGCCTATGACAGATAGTTCAAGTATTGAATCGATATAAACATACTTGACTTAGTGCCCAGCATCCTCTAATTACTGACAGGGATGTTACACACTTCTATTTTGTTTACTCTATAAAAAATCTAGCAGTCTAAATTGTATATAACCTGACTTTTGACTCGACATTACTTAGCTGTGTTTTAGTCCTGCATTTCAGAAGTCAATCAGTCATTTCTTGTTACGAATCACATCACAATTTGGCAAATGATTCATTCCAAATCAACATGTTAATTACCTTTTATTTATTTCGTTTCTGGGATTCTGAGCAATAAGCCTAGTCCCGGGAAACTGGGGAAAAGACCTGGTCTCGGAGGAAACCTGAAAAATTGCTATACCTACTAACACCCTCCTCCCGAATAACACATTAACTATAAATAATAAGACAATTGCTGTTGGCATATGCTCAAAAGATGTCTGTAACAGCTGACCATCTGCTATCAGAATGTCAAAAAAACCAACCCTATTATGTCATAATTTTCGACTCTTATGCCGACGGTTTGTTGGAAACATATAAGTATATAATTATTTGAAAAGAATAAAATCAACACGACAACTGTATATTATAATGTTTTCAGGCCTAACTGCCGTTTTCAGGTTATACATTCTGAAGATGGCCGTTAGTCCTGAAAACGTTAGCGGGATACATTTGTCGTGTTGATTTTATTCCTTTCAAATAGTTTATCGATATACACACAACGTCTTTAAGTTACATCTATACATATACATGTATGTGATATAGACTATACATATCTCATACATGATATATATTAGAATGATTGGTAATAATGATATACAGATGATCGGCCAAAAAAGTACAATTGTTTAACAAATAAACAATGATGAATGGTGCCTTCTCACCTCTATTTGGAGAATACACACACAATTGTGCTAATTTAAAGGGGAATTCGTTTCGACTGCATCCAACCAAATATTTGACTCATGTCTTGTCTTATAATGTTAATAGAGTTTCCGTTTAAAATCAATCTATCAACGCAATTGATGGCCTTAAGACTGAACTTTTCTAATAAAAAGCCTGTCATATACCTTCTAATATATCTGTGATAAAAAATCTCCTCTAGAAATCATTTGACGATTTCAGGTCAGACCATCACACCAGTATATATCCAGATTAACACCCCCGTCACATTGACCTGTCCGGCCGATGATCAGGCTACGATTCTCAGCTGGACTGGACCCGGAGGTACCCTGTATGTCACAGAAACTACGGCTGAAGCTGACCTTGATGACAATGTAAAATCACGGATATTTGCGAGTCACACAGGAAGGAGTTATACACTCACATTTACAGAGTTCCGGTCGAGTGACATCGGGATATATAGATGTACGGTTGACGGGACAGTGACTTTACAGATGGCCATTGTACAAGGTATGTATACGGGTGTGTCACACAGGGAAGTTTCAGTCCACGGACACTGAGATATATACATGTACAGTGGGGCTAAAGATGGCCATTGTATAAGGTATATTGTTAGGTTATATCCATGTGTAGTGTTAGACTATATTACTGCATGCTGCCATTATCATAACGGTCACAGTTTGAAAGTGATTCATTTCATCTATTCAGGTATTATGGTTTTATATGGGGCCAGTACCCTATCTACTGTAATGTCGTACAGATCTATAGCCAGAAACGAAGACGTTCGGAAATTCCAGTATTTTATAAATAGTTTACATAATGCAATGCATTGAGTAAGAATTCGAATTTTTTGTGTATTATTATATGTATATACATATATATATTCTAATTCACAAAATAAAAAAAATGACAACAGTTATTTAAGAGGTGAACACATCATTCTAACTCAATAACGTTAATGTTGAAACTGATGATGTCGAAATAACAAGAAAAAGTTAATATTGTTTTATTGAAACCAGGGAGAAACATAATATCAACTCAATAAATTATTGGTAAGTTTTAAGAATGCAATAATCTTAAATTACCTCATGTATTCAAAACATGACAAAGCTTGATAATCGGTATCTGATGATTTGCATGTATTTGAAAAAAAATTATCGTTATAACGATTAATTGAGTTGTTAAATCTATAGTGTTATCAATTACTGTGATCTCAAAGCACTGCAATTTCACACACAGTACTGATCGATTTTAGAGTATCACAAACGCAAATAATCAAACTTTTAGTGTTTTAACTCCAGATCTCTAGTTATAGACTGAGTGTTAGCAAAATATATCGGGAAGAACTTTCTTCGCATTATTGAACAGCATCAACCTTAACCATTTTGATACATGTATATAGCGTAGAATTTGTGACATTATCAAAAGTTTTATTGAAGTAATACAGTTTGCATGACCCTATATAAATAATAGTATAATGCTAGTCCTAAAATTTCAGCGAATCATGAAAACATGAGCCGTTTTTCCAGTGAAAATAAAACAACTTGGTCATATCTATATCAGAATATCTTGAGCCAAGGGTGAATCTAAATTAAAAACACGTAAATCATTATCCAGTGATCAATTTCATTGGTTGATAACACCATTATTTCCCAGAGTTCATTGCGGTATTATGGAATTGATGGCATTTTACGCATACACTTCCGGGTTAGGTTACAACGCGTTTCACATGCTGATGTAGTAAGGATTTTGCTCGTTAATATATATTGCGTGATTGAACACACAGGTTTTGCTAAATGACATGATCTCGATCATTCCGAAGTGCTAAGATTCAAGATGTGGCATGATAGCCGAAGAAAGGAGGTAAACAACGAAGACTTTTATTTCACATTGAAGGTGTCAAAATAATCGTTGTGTTAAAAATTTGTAAGACTAGGAAAGGAATTCATGTGTAAATTTCAACTAAAATATGACACAACTAATTTTCACCTGAAAATTGAAAAAAATTTATGTAAAAATCGCCTAAATAATATTGTTCTGGACAACATACTATATATTTGCACGGCATACGGCCTTGACATGTCTGTACCCGTGAAAAGTCAATTGTCCACCAAAACCCTCGCCATGACACCGAATGAGAACGAAAACAGTAAAATAAACTGAATACCTGGACACCTATATAGGTATAACGTCACATAGGTAAAGTGGACATGAGTACACAACATATATAAACGCACAAGTAGTTAAAGTGTATCCTGTGTGTAATTTTATATTTAGATATAATGTTAAGAATGCCGTAAAAATAATAATTAAAAAAATCCCGTCAAAATCCATCGCTCCAGTGTCGAGTTATTAAAGCTCAAAGTTGTCGATTTTCACATGTCCGCTCGGACCTAATCAGCGTAGTCGTCATTACCGCGGAATCGAGGCGCTTCTACTCGTGACGTCATAAGTTCAACAGAAATGGCAGTCAACATGACTGACAGTAACAACGACACGCACCTGATAACGATTTGAACATGAGTTTTGAGGAGTCTGATTATGGTGTGGATGATATTTCTGAAGACGGAATCCAGCCCTACCGATTTGAACTGGAATTACATGACGATGTATCCAGTGAGGAGGAAAATAACATTGTCATTAATTCGAACTCTTTTCGGCGGAGTCCGATCCATTGCTATCATTACACCGAATTGGAAATGAAGTTCCGCCAAATGTTTTGAACATAAATATGAATATTTCGTTGGACCTTTCCACATGTCTCTCTTCTTCAAAACAAATTGAATCAATTGTTTGCATAAACCTGGCCTATTTATCGGGAAGGCATGCATCGACACCCCATCCGTGTTAGGACGGTGTCGGAAATTTTCGTACCGGAGAGTTTTCGTCCGAGGGGAATTTTCGTAGGACTATGGATATATATATATAGGGTGTCCACAACTAATCATAACACCCTTCGCTGTGTTGATGATAAAAAAATGATGTTTTGGAAGTTTATACAATGATTTGAATGGTTTTTACCCAAGTACTGGTACGCGCCTGGCACAGGTGTGATTATGAGTTTAGATGACGTCTCTACACATAACCTATCCTATAGTACTACTATACCGTTAGGACAACCGTACACTGCACACCGCTTCCCTCCTCGATAGGAAGCCGTTTTAGCGGATTTAAGCGCTAATTCACCGACCCCTCGTTCACTACCTTAAATATTGCGATGATGTGAAGTACTTTCAGGTAAATAAACAAAGAAGTTACCCCCGGAAAATCCCTAAAATAGATCACAATCACATGTAGCACAGTAATGTCAATATGCCTGCATCAGCAAAAGCGCTGAGCTTATGACGTCACAGGTTTGGATGCCCGAAAACGAGGTAAACGTCTTTCAGCCAAAGGTGTGTTTTTCAGCAAAGTCGCTATTTTCTCAGTAACGGAACATTCCACGGCATTCGCATTTTCGGCAATGTGTAGATTATGTGCAGAACTATTTAAGCTCAACATAGCTGACCTCTCAGGGGACACTTTAAGCAGAAGACGCGGAAAAAAACTGACGACGTGATACACCAATAATGGCGGCACAGAATTAATAAAAATCGACTCTATTACATATATATATATATTTGTAATGAAAAAATGTTTAATTTACTGAGCAAAAGTGTACGTTTTATCTATAATAACCTTTATCTACAAAACGATATATTAATATTTTTTTCTGAAATGCCGCTATATAATCTACAGTAAAAAATAAAAGACTTTAGTGCCAAAAATGAAAAAAAATGGAAGTTTCATTTTTTAAATGCTACAGTATCATTTCTTCATTTTTAGAACACTAAGCATGGATATTCTGATAGTAACATGTTAGATATCATATATACAAAGCAAGGAATCATATTGAATACACTGGGAACTAGAGATAAAAGTGGGACGGATTGTGAGAAAGAACATGCTCTTTGTACATTTTGTGAATTTTCTGAAGGTCAAAAATACAACTTTCTATTGGAGTTCATTTTTAATGATCTGCTAAAACATCTTCAAACAGTATACGAAAAATTACCTCATATAATTAGGAATTTTGTGCAAAGTAATTAGAACTGATTGACAATAAAGTTATGTATTTTAGGTAAAAATGAGCAAAGGGGAAAATCTTTTTTGGATTAAAATGTTATTAAGTGATTTGATATAATACACTTGGTTTTATAAGTACACACGAATAACCCACTAAAGTGAATTTTCTACTTTTAAAATGGCCACCATGTTCCCTGATAATCACAAAAATCAAATGTTCTAACACCTGCTGAATGAATATTCTTACAAGAATGCTAAATAAGATTTAATTCTGTTTACAAGTTCAGACTAAAGTAATACCACGTTTGAAATCGGAGGCAAAAAATAATTTGGAAATTTGCAGGAATAACTCATTGAGGACGATAGTGTCTTACAGACTATCTCTTAAGGCAATGATAGTAAGGCTACTCTGGACTTTGACAAACGAACATTAATGTTCGTTTGAAAATGTTTCCTGAGAAATGTTATTTGTTTTTTACCTTACATAGCATATCCTAAAACGGGTACAATACATCCAGCTGTTAATGATCATGAGATATTTCAATTAGAGTTGAAATCGGAAATGACCTTTTCCACAATATCTGAACGAAATTGTATTACGTATAGATCTAAAGCAAGCTCTACCAAATTGTTGGTATTTTTTAAGATCAAAGGGAATTTTCAATATGGCGTCCAACCATAACGGTAATGCTGAAGAAAAACTGAATGCATCAACTAAATAAAATATAAACAACTCTCTTACTGATCAAATGATTTGGTTCCACAAAGTTCGGAAGACTAATTAAATAAGTACTGATAAAATTAGTTTATTTTAATGATCAAAGCAAATATACATCAACTGATCCGAGTACACATTGACTTAATCATGTGATCTGACCAAATGAGAAGGTTTACAAGCCAAGAGTTTGAATGTCTTCTTTTAGTCAAGGTCGTAATTTTGTTTAAAACCACTACATCTTACACTTCATCATGTACATGTTTGAAAAAAGTCAGCATTGAACTCTTCTAAATGATTTAGGAGTTAATACAGCAATATTTCTGTTACTTTACCTATAACATGCAAGTTACTACCTGATTATTTATAGGCTAGCTGCATATGCATTTTCGAGCAAACAGTCGATAAATTTCAATACCGTAGTTGTATAGTTTTAAAATGAGGAAATATGTTATGGCTAGGGGTTCGAACCTCACACTAATGAGGCTTTGATACTTTTATTTATTAATATTTTTTAATTGGGATTTTCACCCAAAGGTGGAAAGACCTATTGTTTTTGTTGAGTTTCTTATTCTTTTTATTCTTCTTTTTCTTCTTCCGTATTTTGTGGAGTTTTTCTATCTTTAGATGAGGGAAAGAAAGGTTGATGGTTCTGATAGTATGTTTTTAATGAAGGTCTGAAGGTGTTACAGGAACATTATCAAATAGGTCAAATATCCAATATGGCCACCATGACGTCATACACTAAAAACATTAAAACTGCTGTAACTTAAAAAACATCATTGTGGAGAGTTTGTGCAATTATATTATTGGTAGAGAATTTCCTTATCTCAATTTCTGTCATGGCATGTTATCAAAACATATATAAACATGCTCGCTGTGGGGTAAAGTTTTCAAAATTTAACTTTTTGTTTTCAATTTTCAATTTTCTTGAAATTTTCTTCTTCAGATCGATGCAGAACATCCTTCCAATGAATTTAGTGTTTTCAGTTCTTCTGAAACATTTACCATTTCCGCTGTAGGCCATTTTGAAAATTTTCTTTGATCTTTTAAAAATGCTGACAAGTAGGAAAAACTCGTTCTTGATCAATATTGATGAGCTATATTTCATCAAATTGTTACTGAAAAGATTTCCCCATATGTCTTCTACCATTTAGTGACATTTACAAATTCATCGGAAAAACAAATTGGCCGCCATGACGTCATTTCTGATTTTACCTGAAATGCTATAACTCAAGAACTGTTTAAACTAGTGACCTCAGTTTTGATCATATTTTGTATATTCAAAAGAAAAATACTGGAAGCAAAGGTCAACTTCCGGTAGGGGTCAAAGTTCAAAAGTGTTATTTTCAGTTACAAAATTTGACAAACTTCTTCTCAAGTTTTGCAAAGCCTTGAGTCTTGATATTTCATGTGTAAGATGTCTGTTTAATTATCCATCAAATTTGTTAATATACATGACCTTGACCCACTTTCAAGGTCACAGGGGTCAATTATGTAAAAATCGTTAAATGGTAATTTCTCCATTGTTAAGCTGCTCAAAATCTTCAACTTCGGACATAAATATTCTGTGGACATTTCCTGTCGATTGATATAAGAAAAACGTACCTCAAAATTCAAGTTCTGAAAGGCCTAGAGGCTCTATATTTCACATATATGAAGCAAATATAACTGGCAACAAAGTTTGATAATATAAAGGACCTTGACTTACTTTCAAGTTCACAGGGGTCAAATATATTTTCACCTTAAAAATTCTTTAATTTAATTTGATGTAGTTGTACTTCCTTAACGTTTTAAAATAGAAAGTTCGTCTTTGGCTATGTTATAGATATTAACAAACAAAGAAACTTTCTCATATATTATTTTCATGAAAAATGTCAACATCCGGTTTCCGAAAGAAGTCAAAGTTCGGATATACAAAATAGGGTACCAGTGTTCAGCAATCTTCTTGTAGAGTTGCTCAAGGTCTAAATAACTAATATTGATCATCAGATGTTACATTATAAGGATTGCAAATATGAATAACCTTGACTGACATTCAAGGTCACAGGTGTCAAATGTATATGAAATCTTCAAACATCATTGATCAAACAAAAAGCAAGGAGGAACTGATATTAAGCATGCTGGGAAGAAGGACTACCATTTTTGTCCTGACTAAGAGTTGTTATTTTCTAAGTTGGTCGGAAATCCAAGATGGCTGCCATGACTGCCATTTTGAAAATGGATATATTTGAGCTGATCCGGTCAGTTTGTGGAATTCTGGTTAGGTTTGCGTAAATGAAGCTGAGATTAACTTAAACTAGTGCTGTTTTTTGGGGAGTATGTCCGATATCCAAGATTGTCGCCAAAGAAGTGAAAAGCCTGCAAAATTCTTAGAAACAATTTCTAGTTATTTATTTGATTTGTCCTTTAGTCCTTCTTCATAGAAATTGATGTAATGTTTGTATATCGCATTGTCGGCAGTTTACAATGTAGAAAGAAACATATGAAATTCTTAACAGTAAATAAACAATACAGAAAAGCTGAAGCAGACATACTGACATACTGATTATTGCAAATTTTGCTCCAAAAGGTGAAAAAGTTTGGGGGAAATTTCCTTTTTACCTTCCTCCTGGAAATGTTACTTGACCTTTTTTAGGGATAACATACAGAGACAATACGTTGACCCTGACAAAACCTACAAATATTATAAATGCATGAATTAGTTTATACCATTGTTAGATTATGATCCATGATGTCATTAGGATTTTTCTGACAAACTTGAAAATTTTACACTGACACTTTCAATCAATGTCCTTCATCTTTTTTTCAGATTTTTCAGACTTTGATCACCTCTTTTACCAGTCAAAAGACCATTAAGTCAAAAACGCCAGAACAATAAGAATTGGAAATAAAGCAATAAGAATAGGCCTTTCACCAAATGGAAATAGAATATTTGCCAGTTAGATCATCATGTCGACCATAAAACTTCCCTCAAATCGTGAGTGAAAATACGGCATCGACAAAAACATTAAATAATCTGTGATACAAGCAGGAGGTACATGTAACGTAAAGAAAATACACCAATAATTAAATCTGATTGATTAAACATATCACCAACATTCCCTGTCTTATGGATATACCAAACTCTATTCATTATCATGTAGAAATAAGTAAAACTGATATTTCAAATATTACGGAAATTCAGTTTTATTGCTGACTGCGTTCTGCTTATATTTAAGGTGTGACATCAGCCAGTCCAGTATACACTAGACAGGGAGGAACATTAACATTACAATGTCCTGATACTGGTGGTAGTGCATCGTGGGCTGTCACTTCTACTGGATTTATTTACGTCAGCGGAACACGAATCAACCCGAATCTAGCAGACTCAATAAAGACGAGACTTGTTGTTACCAAAGAGAGTGGAATCTACAGCCTACAGATCAGTAATGTACAACTGTTAGATGTCAGGGAATACAGATGTAGCATTGGAGTATCTGATACATTCTATCATCTACTACTGTACAGTGAGTTATGTCAGATTGGTAATACAGACACATTTTATCATTTACTACTTTACAGTGAGTTATGTCAGATTGGTAATACAGACACATTCTATCATCTACTACTGTACAGTAAGTTATATCAGATTGGTAACACAGACACATTCTATCATCTACTACTTTACAGTAAGTCATGTCAGATTGGTAATACACATTCTAACATCTAGTAATGTACAGTAAGTTATGTCAGGTTGGTAATACAGACACATTTTATCATTTACTACTTTACAGTGAGTTATGTCAGATTGGTAATACAGACACATTCTATCATCTACTACTGTACAGTAAGTTATATCAGATTGGTAACATAGACATATTCTATCATCTACTACTTTACAGTAAGTCATGTCAGATTGGTAATACACATTCTAACATCTAGTAATGTACAGTAAGTTATGTCAGGTTGGTAATACAGACACATATTTGCATCTACTACTGTACAGTATGTTATGTCAGATTTTAGATACAGACACATTCTACCATCTAGTAATGTACAGTAAGTTATGTCAG